CAACCTTCCTTCCGAGGAGTGGCTGGTGGGTTTGAACCGCCAGCCTTCTGGTTAGCAGTCAAGTGCTTTAGCCACTATGCTACCAGAGCTCCTTGACTTTCATATATATATATTTCTGTAGACCAGACCTTCTTACATATATCCATCCGTGTAAGTGTGTGTATAATAAATGTTACAGCTGACTTCCTGTATTTAGAATGGTCCAGGCAGCATATTTTATCTCTCTTAAGATAAGGTAGTTACTGTCAGATTATCCAGATTTTGAAGGTGGGGAAACTGAGGCACTGAGACATGACACTGCGGGCCCAGGGTCCCACATTCTTTTTGTCTGAACTCAGAGACGGCTGGCTCACTTAACAAGTCACACAAAAGAGAACAGTGAGTCGAGTGAGGAAGGTTCATACATAGCAAATAGAGGGTCTTTATCGAGGTAGTTTAGGGTCTGGGTTTCTTGTCTCTTGCGCTGACCCCCCAGCAGCTCTGCATCTGTTTCCTTGGCCAGTGGGAAAGGGGAATGACCCAAGGTGCCTGAAATACCACCCTGAGAGCAGCCAACTACTTTTCTCTCAAAGCCCATCGGCTAGAATCTGATCACATGATTGATCCTAGCTACATGGGAGCCTGGGAAATGTAGTTTCTAAATAGGCAGCTTGAGCTTTGCTGCAAGATGAGGTCTGGTTGTGAAGGTATGAGGAGATGGAAAGCAAAAATATAAACCAGTTGCCCTTGAATCTGATTCAGGGCAGCCCTGTGTGTGCTCCATATGGCTTCAATGACTTAAAATTGCTGTCGATCGCCAGGCTAGCTTTATTCCAAGCAGGCACCTTTGAGTGGACTCATGCCGCCAACCTTCTCGTGGGCAGCTGGGTGCTTCACCGTTGGTGCCACCCAGGGACCCCGTGGCAGGTGAAGGAAGGAAGTTTCCTGAAGGCCCGGATTGACAAATCTTTCCCTCACTGGCTCTCTCTTTTGTTTTCTCTAAATATCTTCATTGATATAATTCACGTATCGTTCAACTCACCCATTTAAAGTGAGTGAATTGGTGGCTCTTCTATAGAGTTGTGCCACCACATATTTTATTGTATTTTAGGTAAAAGTTTATACAGCAGAATAGGATCTGCCCCATAGATTTTGCCTCATTATAATCTTTCCAGATGAAGCCCCTGTCCTGCAGAATTGTTGGGTGGGTTCCAACCACCAGCCTTTCAGCCTTTCAGCTACTAATCTCCTTTCTGTTTTTATGATCTGCCCATCCTGGACATTTCACAAAGGGAGCTCTGGTGATGCATCAGGTTGCTAACCTAAAGGTCCACGGTTAAAACCCACCAGCTCCTCCACAGGAGAAAGATGAGAGAGCCTGCTTCGGTAAAGATTACAGCCTTGGAGACCCTGTGGGGCAGTTCCACTCTGTCCTCTAGGGGCGCTGTGGGTCAGAATGGACTCCATGGCAGTGGGTGTGGTTTGGGCTTTGCTTCT